TGATACACATTTTAGATGCATGTAATATATCAGTGATGTTAGTGATGCAGTAAATGAGTTATCATTAATATACGTGAAAAAGACATGTTAGTGATGCATGTATTTTTTGGTTGATTAAATAACTCATTAATATAACTGAAAAAGACAAGCATTTAAATAGGATGTTTAATTAATATAACTGAAAAAGACAAGCATTTAAGTAGGAAGTTTAATTAAATTCTCAGTGGCATATGAGTGTAAATAAGTTGGAAAATTTAGGGGTATTTTTTAGTGGGTACTTCTCTTTTAATAATAGAGATGATTCTCTTTATTTTAAATAATTTCACTGATGTGACTATATGAAAAATATAAATTGAATCTTCTACCTTTTAAGATTAACTTTTTGGAATAACAAAATTACTATTTTGTCATATATAAGCAATTTGATGTTCCGTTTAAATTTATCATAATAATCAATAAATTATAATGTATGTATTAATAAGTAACTATAACATGATTATACCTGTATTTCTGGATACAACATCTAGCTGAATTTTAAAGTGAATCACTTAATGAGGTTTGTTATTTTATTTGGATATTTTTCAATTTCTAATTTCTATGATTCTGTAAGTTTGTAGCGATGCCATATGTTAGCTAAATTCAGTAGATAGAGATATTTTTTTTTGAAAAGATCTTGATAAATACTTCAACTTATATAAACGAATGTGAATATAACTCTTAGGTTTGTGCAATAAGGAGGAGAAGAGTGCATTCGAACTCCGATACGTACGTACTTTTAGAGGCAGGACAAGATGAACAGTTTGTGTCAGAAGACGAACTCAAGGCTAAGCTCAAAGGCTGGCTCGAGAACTGGCCTGTAGAATCTTTGCCACCAGACCTTGCTAGGTTCGATAACCTCGATGAAGCCGTTGATTTCTTGGTTAAAGCTGTATGTGAACTAGAGATTTATGGAGAAGTAGGTTCTGTTCAGTGGTATCAAGTTCGTCTTGAGTAAAGAGCAATTAAACAAATGTATTGTGTTTCTCCTATGTATCAAGCACAAGCACATGGTTCGGACCGTTTCCAATAGTGTTTCAGTTTTTACTTTTTGTTTTATTTTTTTTTTGCTCTGATGATATTCCATTTCTTTAGTCTTTCATTCTTCGAAAAAGAACTTTTTACAAACTAATCCGCAATTTTAGTTTGTTGTTATTTTATAATTAAACCCGTGAATCATGGGGTAAAGATATTAGATTAAAAATGTAAATTTCAAAATAACTATATATAAAACATTTAGGATGAAAATAATCTAATATATAAAGTAGATTTCCTTTTTTCTAGGAGATTCCACATCACTAATTAAGTTTTTAAGGTGTAACCACATGACACTTAAAATACTTTTTGTAACCAGTGCCGGCCTATAATCTAATGGTATTATTTTTAGCGAAGAACAAAATCCTTGACTCTTACGAAAGTGAACTATATTCAATCGTCGTAATTACGGTCCTCATTAACATTACCCGTTCCTTCCTTTAGGTGAATCTCCAACTATAAATAAGTGAGTTTCATTCGCTGAAATTCATCCGTTTATTCTTCTTAATCCTTATGCATTTAAAATTTTAAAAGATGAAAATGGTAACTCCGCTCTTTTCCTCGCTGAGTTGAAAGCCCGCCTATGTACCATCACCATCGAGGCTTTGGGAGGCCAGATGGTTCATATCTGAAATAGGTCCCACCACATACGTCATGTGTCATCATTGATTAACCTCTACCACCACGCCACAAGTTCGAAGAAATTTGAGAAGAAATTCGAACCACCGTGGATCTACAGAAGAGACACTACGAAGGCTTGGGTTACACATCTTAGATCTGACCCCACCACTATGATTCCTAAAGTCGGAGACTACGAACAACACCGGTGACCCGCTGCATCTATGCTCCCTTATGACAAGATTTTTTTTTTGTTTTGTCCGAATTGGCAAGAATGAAAAAAAAAGAGGAAGAAGAATGACCTAGGGTATTGACTCTTCTCTTACCAACATATTCGAATTGGGCTTCTTCGGACTCAAACAAAAGAGGATTAAAGAAGTGGGTCTTTAAAAAAAAATCACTATTGGATTTTGTTATACTAGGATCTGTTTTTGTAAAAGAGGAAATCCTTGCTTCTTTATACCACAAAATGTTAAAAAGGTTATAAAAAGATGTTAAAGAGAGTGGAACTCACTTCATTAGTAGAATAATCAATAATATTAAAAGAGAGGAAATTTAAAAATATATACTTTTTTTTAAGGTGGTCTGGGAATCCAGACCGAAATAGAACAACCAACATACAACAATTCTCGATAAAAGGATCGTGCAGTTTTAGCTAGAGAGTCTGATACACCATTCAGCGTCCTAGGAACATAGAAGATCTTGAAATCTGGGAAGCATATCCGGAGTTTCATGAGCTTTTCCAACTCCGTTGAGAAGCATGGCCAGTCATGAGGATTCCTGAGCATCACTATCATTTCCTTGCAGTCCGTCCCAAAGCTCTGACATGGCGAATGTTGAAGCATATTCTCCATTGCCCACGGCAACGCTTCCAGCTCAACGTGCAAATCATACTCCACTCTAGTAAAGCTCAGCATGCCCATTAACTGGCAATTACCCATACTGTCCTTCCAAGCCCAACCACATCCACTGAAATGATCTGTAGAGGTCCAAGAGCCGTCTACCAAACATATATTTCCCAGGCTTGTGGCCTGGGTTTCAACATCTATGTTTCCTTGATCTAGCAATATAACATGTTCATTGGCTTGGAACCAGGCTTGGCACTCACTCTTGGCATAACGGGCTAACTCCAATGTGTCTCTATAAATTCCTCTGAATAGCTTATCGTTCCGAGCCTTCCAAAAATACCAAATTAGCCATGGATAAGGATCCCTGTCAATTTCCGGTTCCATTATGGCATTTTTCCTCCAGAAGAGATAATCCATATTCGCAAATGTACTCTTTATTGAGAACAAGGTAGGACTGGTGGGCGTAGATGATAAGGCCCAAACTTGCCTTGCAGGTGGACATTGAAAGATTGCATGAGCAAATGTCTCTTCTGGTTCTCCACATCGTGGACAGTAATTATCACATCTCATGTGTCGATAGTTCAAAGTAACAGCCATATGGCATGTTACTATTTTCCACATAAGATGGCACATCTTCTGGGGTGCCTTAATCTTCCAAGCATGTGCTTGGAGTTTCGTTATACTCGGTTCAGAAACTACTGCTTCCTCCTCCTTCCTCAATATATTCCGTGCGACCCAATTTCCAGATTTAACTGTATACTGCCCGTTCCTTGTATAACTCCAGCAGTACGTATTCCTGCGGTGTGTTGCACTAGTGGCCATACTCCTTATGAGTGGTATATCAGCCGCATCTACGTAGTTCTCCAGCCAGTCTAGATCCCAAGACTTTGTTCCTTGATCTATAACGTCGGTCACTCTCATGTTCGGATGCAAAATCGGTGCACATGGGGACGCTGGACTCGCTGGAATGGTAGGAATCCATGGGTCCTCCCATACTCTTACCTCATAACCCGAACGTATTTTCTGTCTAAGTCCCAGCAGTAGTAACTCACTTGCCGCCGATATGCTTGTCCACACATACGATGGAGTACTGGCATTAAGCTATCGCAAAGGCGAGCTCAAACGATAATATCGGCCTCTCAAGACTCGAGCTACCAGCGCATCTGGGTATTGAACCAATCTCCATAGCTGCTTTTCTAGAAATGCGAGGTTAAACTCATGAATCATTCTGAACCCAATCCCCCCTTCCTCCTTAGATAAGCATAATTTATCCCATGTTGACCAGTGAATACCGCTTTTTGGGGGGGGGGGGGTTCGAAGTCCACCAGAACTGTGCAATGGTACTAGCTAGAGCATCACATATCTCCAATGGAAGCAGAAAGCAAGACATTACATATGTTGGGAGTGCAAGCAGGATCGACTTAATCATAACTTCCTTGCCACTTTTTGATAACCACCTTCCCGTCCATCCATTTACCATGTTCCTTAGCTTATCATTCAAAAAAAGCAAAAAACTTGCATTTAGAGCCACTGATATCCTATGGGATTCCTAAGTATGTTCCCATCCCGCCTTCATTCTGAATCCCAACTGTCTCTTTAATCTCTTGCCTGATATCCTGTCCAATTCTCTTACCAAAAAGTACAGATGATTTGTCGAAATTAATGCATTGTCCTGAAGCTTGTCCATATTTCCTGACCACTTCCATTACTTCTTCACATTCACGGGGCTCCGCCTTTCAAAAGAACAGGCTATGATCATCAAATAGAAGGTGAGATACCGAAGGACACGCCCGCGTGATGCACATCCCCGTTATCTTGCCTTGTTTCTCTGCATGATTTAGAAGGCTAACGATTGCTTCCGTGCATAGAATAAAAATGAAAGGGGACAGAGGATCCCCCTGTCATAGACCTCTCTCCGGGACTATATTCCCTCTTGGCTGGCCATTCATAAGAACCTTATACTTTACTGATGTTACACATCGCATTATCCAGGTAATCCATATTTCCGAAAAACCCATCTTTCTCATGGTAGCCTCAATGAAGGACCACTCCATTCTGTCATATGCCTTGCTCTTATATGTTTTAATAGCCATCCTCTTGTTTCGTTCACTCGGTTTGGTCCTTAGAGCATGGAACATCTCCTGAGCTATCATAATGTTGTCGGAAATTTGTCTCCCAACCACGAAGGCTGATTGGGTTTCTGAGATCCTACCTGGTAGGAATTTTTTAACCTCTGGCATAAGACCTTAGAAAATATCTTGTAACTGACGTTGCATAGGCTGATAGGACGTAACTGACTCATCTGGTTTGGTTTATAAACTTTTGGGATAAGGAAAATGTTGGTGTCGTTTAAACCAGAAGGTAACATGCATTCAAACAGGAATTGATTAACCATAAGAGTTGATCATCCTTTACAATATCCAAAAATTTATGATAAAGTAATGCAGTCATCCCATCCGGCCTTGGAGCTTTCTCTGGGTGCATTGCAAACGAAGCCAATTTAACCTCCCACTCAGTGACCGGAGCAGTGAGATTCTCATTATCTACTGGCGTAATGGTCGTAGAAACCTCAGATAGTGCTTCCTCTATATCCTCGGGATTTGAAGATTGGAAAATGTGTCTAAAATAACTTGTAACAATAGCTACAAATCCTTCCTCATCCTCTACCACATTCCCATCTTCATTCATTAATTGAGTGATTCTGTTCCTCGCTCTTCTCTGTTTCGTGAGGGCGTGAAAAAATTTAGTATTTCTATCTCCTTCCCTTAACCAGGATACCCTACACTTCTGTTTCCAAAATAGCTCTTCCACCTTGAGAGCGTCAGACAATTCCTTTAGAGCTACCGCAATCTCCTATGTAGTGGCATCATCATTTGAAGATAATTGATCTACCTTTTCCTTCAGCTCCTCCATACTTTTCTCTGAATTCAGATTATGTTGCTTTTTCCAATCACATAAGGCTCGCCGGCAACTTACAATATGCTCCATGATACTTGCGTCTGGTGGGAGATCCGGTGATTTCCATCCCTCAAGTATAATATGCCTTAGCTCCTCGTTATCCAGCCATCTCTTATCAAATTTGAAAGTTTTTGATCTTCTTGGTTTCTTTTTAAGAATGTCAGCTAGGATCAGACGATGATCCGATCCCTAGAGTCTCATATACTGCACTTTGGAATGAGAGAACTTCTCATGCCAATCCTTATTCCCAAAAACTCTGTCAAGGCGGCATCTAACCGTAGTCCTCCTCGCTCGATTCCTTACCCAGGATAGCATGTTCCCTGTGAAAGGAAACTCCAGCATACCACAATCACTCAACATTTGCCTGAAAGGCAAGAAAGAGCTATTTGGGCGTTGTCTATCTCCTTCCTTCTCTTCATGATAGGTAATTTCATTAAAGTCCCCTATCATAAACCAGGGTCCATTCCTTGTTGTTGAGAAAAGCGTAAGACATTCCCAAACTAAATCTCTTCTTTCTAGTACAGGGTCCCCATGAACAAATGTCATGTAGACTTTTATTCCATCAATGACTACCTCAACGTCAATCATTCTATTTTATTATTCAAAAACAAAATCTTAACTTGAAAATTATCCATAAAAAATAAAGCTAAACCTCCGCTGAGTCTAAGTGGCTCAACAG